TCGTGAGTGGTACTGAGATTGAGGGCGAGAATGAGCAAGGTGATGACGTACAGTACCCGTGGGAAGGGGAACCAACGCGACACCATAAACACGTGATTGACATTAAGAAATTTTACCTGGATAAAACGCCAGTTACCAACGAGCAATACAATCAATTTATAATTGATACCAAATACTCGCCGGTTGATAATCACAATTTTGTGCGCGACTGGCACCAGGGTCACTATCTCGATGGGTGGGCACACAAACCGGTCACCTGGGTATCAATGGACGACGCCCGAGCCTACTGCCGGTGGGCCGGTAAGCGATTGCCCCACGAGTGGGAGTGGCAGTACGCTGCCCAGGGTCACGACCAACGCAAGTATCCCTGGGGCGACACTTTCGACGCCAGTCGTGTGCCGCCACCGGTTACGGGACGTGACTTAACACCGCCCGCCGACGTCACGCTATATACGAATGGCTCGTCTCCTTCCGGGGTCCTACACACTGTGGGGAGTGTATGGCAATGGACTGACGAGTACGTGGACGACCACACCCGCTATGCTGTGCTCAGGGGTGGAAGTTATTACCATGCTCAGGGTAGTAGGTGGTATTTCCCGTCCAATGAGACCTGGTATACGTTGGACTTCCATAACAAGTATTTATTAATGGCCCCCTCACTGGACAGGGCGGCCACACTTGGGTTTAGGTGCGCCGCCGATTCTCAATGATTTAAATAGACTTATATTTAAAAGTTTTGTAAACATCCATGGTCAAATAAAAAGCTAATTTTAAATAATGTTTGCAATGTTAAACAAATTTATTACTACAGTATATTTGTCTTAATTTCAAAATTCAATTGTTTATTCGTTTAATTGCTTTTAAAATTAAGATTAAAATAAACTTTAAATTTGAATATAAAATAATTATTAAAATAAATAATAACTATTTTCAATAAATTAGTGTTTCTTAACATTTATTGAAATAGTTTTCAATTGTTAGGCGTGTATTGACTCACAAACTGTAATAAAACCGTTTTGTATAAGTTTGCTGAAAAGTTAATCATTTTGTGATTTTTGAACACATTTTTAAATTTATACTAATAATTGTGAATCAATTGGTGTTTATTGGACTTCATTGGTGGTCAAATGAAGTCAAAACTGAATTTATTGTCAAATCTAAAGGCTTTTGATAATAATTTGTGTGAAAGAGTCACTCAATTGAATGCAAACTATGTTTCACTCAATAGTCATGAATTGAATGACAAATCAATTGAATTAATAAATTGTCGAAATTTGTTGAGAATTAATGGAAATAATAATACATTGAATGGTGAACTCGAAGAGCACCGGGAGATCATGGGATTGGATGGAGTGGTCGATGAGAGTAGTGGTGAACCCGAAGTACATGTGGTGTCAGAGAAGATACAAGAAGTGCAGACTTTGGACACAGAGGTCGACGACAGAGACAGAGATGAGACGGAAAGACCGGAAGAGATGTCGGAAATAGAAGAGGGCGGAGAGAGTGGTGTCGGAGACCAAAGCAAAGACACTCCAGAAGTGAAAGCAGGAGGGAATGGGAGGGAAGGCAGTGATGATTGCCAACCAATTGAAAACAATAGAGTCCTTAATTCAGGTGATAAACCATTTGTGTGTTTTTGGCCCAAATGTGGCAAACGATTTACTTACAAATATAATATCAAAGAACACAAGAATGCCGTCCATTTGAAACTCAAGGGATTTATATGCGATGTCGAGGGTTGTGGTCAACGGTTTTCTCATAAGTCTAATCTCGTTCAACACAAAATCATACATTCGGGAAGAAAGCCTTTCAAATGCAATGAAATGGATTGCGGCAAATGTTTTGCACAAAGTTCGGGTTTAAATCAGCATAAAATTCAGGTTCATTTAAAGGAAAAGAGATATAAATGCGATTATAAAGGATGTGAACAAAGGTTTGCAATTAAATTCGCTTTAATTCGTCACAAACGGGTCCACTCGGGAGAGAAGCCCTTCGCCTCCGATGTCATGGATTGCGACAAACGATTCACACGGAGATCATCGCTAATTCAACCCAAAATAGTGTTCATTTGAAAATCAAACCATTTGTTTGTAATGAAGTTAATTGCGGTCAAGAATTCTCCTAAAAATCAAATCTCAATCGATACAAACGTATTCATATGCAATGACCGAGATTGTAGCAAAGGTTTTACTTAAAATCTCATCATGATATTCACAAATTCGTACATTTAATGGACGAATAATCACATATTATAATTTCAATTGTATTTTAATTGTGTTTATACTGTTCACAAACTGGTTCCTGTATAACAATAATTTCTATAATTTACAATTCAATTAATTTAGTTGTTGTCAAATCTAAAATCATTAATAATTTTCATGATAATTAATAAAATAATTTGTTTGCGAAATACTAATAAATTTGATTTATTTGATGATCACATTTAAAGTCAATTACAGACAACGAGAATAGGAATTAAAATTAAAATTATCGCTCAATTCCTTTCAGACATACTGTTTCTCTCAACTCTAAAAAATTAACAATAAATGTCATTTCATTTCTTAACAATTCTCTGCTCCTACTATCAAATCTATCTAACAAATGGGTGCATTATTTTCCTATTTCACGTGTACAATTTTCTATTGATAAAAAACTTTATAAGCTAAATATTTAGCTATTATATAAGCTACTACAGTATATACTTTATATACTTTATATACTTTATAAGCTAAAATTTTTTCCCAAGGGAATGCCCCACCATCCCGGCCACCTGTTACCGAACTCTTTTAGGTATGGTTTGGCAAACACTTACCCAAAATACATAAACTTTTTGCCCAAAAAAAACTTAAAAACTTTACAATAATTTTAGTTCTATTTAAAATTGAAAATCAATTGCCTTTTACAATCGCATAGTATTTATGCAATTTTATTGTCTAGTATTACAGTTTCATTTCTGTCACAAAATTACAATTAGAATTTAATTTATTAACAAAAATTTAATTAATTAAGCAATGCACTTAATAGTTCCGAAAATCTGATTAATTCTTAAAAAACACAGCATATCGCAGTCAGATAATTTATAAGTTCATTATTAGGCAATTTTATGAATGAGTTACAAGGTATTAAATAATAAGTTTTATTGCTGTATTGGAAATTGTCACTACTTTAGTAACACGTAGACAAATACTGTTATATCACAATGATCAATGTCTATTTGAACAGCTGAGTTCTCCCTCAATGAAAGTCTCGGTAAGGAATTGATTTATAAATAGAAACCATTTTTCGACTTAACATTACACAGAAGTGATAGTTTGTGTATTTATTTACCAGTATTTCGATCATAAACGTGGCATTAAAATGATTTTATTACTCATTTTGGGTCTAATTTTAGGTATTAGTTGTGTTTAATATGTGTCAAATTAATACTATTACTTAATTCGTAATAATACTTTTTAATAATAATACACATAATTATAAACGGCTTTATTATTAATAATGTTTATTGTTTTTTAAAAACAATTTAATTGTTCATACAGTATAATATCTCTATTTTGAATTTCAATTACAGCGCCATTAATAGTCGGTGAGCCGTGCGAAGTGGTAATAGTGGGGGAAGTGATTGAGGGCCCGAACACAACACAAGAGTTTGACTGTTGGCTTAAAGCCATGCATGAGTTTCGACAAAGTGAACGGATCAGGATCAATTACACCGATGCTAATTACAAACTGGCTGAGTTACAGTGGGCACAGAGCAATGTACTACAGCCGCAAATGATGGCTCACGACCGAGACTTTTATGATTACACTACACATGAATATACTGTCGATAAATATGCTAATCGTCTGAAACAACGATACGGTGGCATCGATTCGGTGTTGATTTGGCCGAATTACCCCAATATAGGGATTGACAACCGGAATATGGATGATATGACCAGAGATATGCCCCATGGAATCGATGGACTTAAGAAAATGGTTGCCGAGTTTCACCAGCATAATATTAAAGTCCTATTTCCGTTACAACCATGGGATAATGGCACACGCGATCCCGGTGCTGACTGGTCAGTCATCGTGCCCAAGACAATGGCCGAAATAGGTGCTGACGGTCTTAATGGCGATACAATGCTTTCCGTCAATAAGGAGTACTTCGATAATTCGGTTCGAGATCTAAGACCACTTGTGTTGGAACCGGAATGGGGTTTGATTGACGAGGGGATAGTAGCTCTGAGTTGGAATGTCATGTCGTGGGGATATAAAGACTATTGGGACGTCACATCTGCGCGGCCAGTTGTTAGCAGAAATAAATGGATTGAGACGCGTCACCAGGTATACATCAATATTACATATACAGTCTGGTATATATTCTGTGTCTATAACATATGTGTATGGTAAAATATCCCATGTTAAGTCAATGTGGCATAGATTTGTAATGATATGTCTATGGACTATAGAAATTATGTTATTCCTGTGAAACAATGTAAAGTTTAAAGGATAAGATTATGGGTGATATTATACAAAGTATAAAACCCCATGATTATTCTATGAGAATATACAATATAATGCACCCACCTACCAGGACTGGGAGGAAATAAATATATTGTGGGCTGAGTTAGATCTATTAAAGACTTTAAACTTATTATTTTAAAACCAATTATTAGGGTAAACTAAAAATACTGGTATAATACAATATACAATAATAATTTTTAATTTTAAACTATCTAAAACTAAAGATTATGAGAAATTTTTTGAATAGATTAAAACACTATTATGAAGAAGATATGAATGACATTACTTACTGTTATACGGACTTCTCATTGAGTATACTTTACACTCAAAAATGATAAAATTAAAACACGTTTTTATTAAGGTCCGACAACTCCTTTATTGTTTAAGTCAATAGCATATTTAGACATATATTAAACATTAGACATAATTTATAAACCTGCATTAAATGTAATGTGGTTAAGCATAGAATTTGTATGTACTCAGTGTTTGATGAAATGCACCAGGTTCATATAAGCGACCGATGGTCGAAATCAAAGATCAAATACCTTCAGATGGCATTGTTTAATGGCGTGGGGATCGAGACGTGGGAAAACGTATGGGGGATATGGAATCAAATGACTGATCGGGACTGTCAGGCCACCAAAATGGTTGCAAATATAATGAGAGAGTTTGCGCCATTACTCACGAGTGACTTGTGGACACCGTTTTATAAAACTGAGCAAGATACAAATTTGATATTTGCGAGTCAATGGCCGGGAACGGCAAATACAAGCCTGACTTTGTGGACATTAATTAATCGCTCGGATAAAGACAGTAATGGATCGCAATTAGAGGTGAAACACAACGACAATCATAAGTATTATGATCTATGGCA